GTTTAAATAGGAACCAATTTCCTTTACTGATTTAGTCACGCGTGCCCAAGATGAAATTTCCTTAACACCTCTGACACATTTGGCTGTAGCCACACTCAGTAATTGTACTTTTTGCATTTTCTTTCCTTTTTTTTTTTTACCTTTCCATCTGTACTCTGTCTGATGACCAGAGATTTGATCCATAAGCATAAATCCTGTATTTCCAGTACCGCATGATGACAAGGACACTTAACAGCTGCACTACCTTACACAGATATTGTTTTGGATGTTCTAGATTCAAAAGCTAGGTGAGCAGTCTATGTCAGTAAGTCATATTTCTGCATGTAATAAAAAAGTGCATTATACACATACAACTGATATAATGGAACATTCCAGTTTTCCAGCTTCCCATCAAAAAAGTTAACCACTCAAGGAATACTTCATTGTTCAAGGAATGTCATTAACTTTGAGAATTACCTTCACAGACCATCAGATGAAGCACTAAATAAGTAAATTAAGGTATTCTGATCTCTTAATTTCTTTTCCATCTCCCCTTCATCCCCCAAGACATCAATTAGTCCTTTAGATACAAATATAAGGTGCAAAAATTTTATGATAAAACTCACATGGGAAAGCACAAATTGTGTCATTTCTCCTTTACAGACTAGTGCTTCCTACACAAGTAGTCACTTCCATTATTTCCCCTCTACTGCCCTCCTCCCTGTGCTATGTTTTTTAGAGCACAATTTCCTTTTCACCTAGCATTATTAAAACTGTATAAACCTTGCTTGGAAAACTAGTTTTGTTGTCCTTCCTCCCCAGATATGATAAACTGGTTCTCTAAAGATTTTAACAAATTACATGTGCATGCCAACTTGTGCAGAAAAGTATTTAATCTTATCAGCACACTTCATGTACATGTAAATTCAGTGGGAAGTTTATGTGCCTCATTTAACTCTATACTAGATCCCTGATATGGGGGGCATTTTATACGAGCCCATGTTTTCCACATCTTTTTTTCCTCTAGTGCCCAATTTCAAAATGCCAACTGCCACTTCATATAGCAACAGCAGTGGAAACAATCCCATCAAAGTTTTACAATCTATTTTAGGAAAACAGGATTTTTTTTTCCCCCCCGAACTGAAAAAGTTAAAGGTCTACAAGAAAGATAATAAAAAAATAATAATGCATGGGTAGCCCTTCTAATCTTTCTTCAAGTTGTTCTATAACCAAGTTTGATTCATAATTTGTGCTCTGCTATGTTGGGGTTTCTTGTTTGTCTTTTTAAAATATACAACATATAAGCAATGGAACAACATTTACCCTTTACAGGGAATGTCAACAACACTTCTCTTCTAAAAGCAACGTGAACTTAAAAAAAGAAACAAAATCAGACCACAAAAGTACTGAGGGAAGTTGCTTCAACAACAGAAACAATCAGCTTACTATCTAATCTTGCTATGACTAAATGCAAGTACAGAATATGCTTTGGAAAAAGCAGTTGTTTATCAACACAGATTTCTAACCAGTATTAATTAATTGTGCTAACAGATAAAGAAAGCCATTAGCACTTGAACACACATTTGAACTTACATACTAAGTAAAAGAGTATCATGATAAATATACCTCTGCACCCACACACAACCCAAAACACCCTCTTCCCTAGTGTATGCCCATTCAGTTAAGCACAGAAGGTAAAAAAAGGTATTTGAGAACTAAGCAGATAGCAGCACAGTTTCATTTCTTACATAATATACAAAATTCTTGTCTACTCATGTCTAGAGGACACCAGAGAATGGACCGATCTTAAGTGAAAAAGCACACCTTAATTTAGAGAGCTTTGCCAATGGGACTGGCAGACGCCTCTCAGAAAGGCAGCTACTGAAGAACACCATCAGCAACAGGAGCTACGAGATACCCCCCACAGAGCTTGTTTTAAACTCTTAAGTCACTGACAGCTATGAATCAGTCACCTTTTCTGATGGTAATATTAGACAGTAGTAGATTCATGGTTATTTCTAATAAGTCAATTATCTATTAAGTGTGTAGCATACCATAAAAAAGCATCAGCTAAGGGATTCCCTTGATCTCTTTGCTGCTAGATCAGTTGAGGTTACATTTAGTGGATTACTTCAGAGAAAAGGCCGATAAGAAATGGACTACTCTATACAGGTAGATAAAGAAAGCATATGCAGATGAAAAACTGGACTAAATTCAAAGTAAGAGTTCTGGCCTACTCACCGATTCATTTAAGAAACTTACAAACCAACACCTACTACTTGTTTTATACATTACTAATCTTTGCTTTTGTTTGTTCCTCTTCCTGTAATTCCTTTCCTCTTAAAAAAGCACAGTACTTCCTTGAAGTGTCTCAAAAAAATCTGCAGCTGAACATATTAACACAGGACTAATAAAGAAGGAAAAGCTGCCTCAGAGTACCACACCTATGAGGAACAGCTGAGGGAACTGGGGTTGTTTAGCCTGGAGAAGAGAAGGCTCAGGGGGTACCTTATCACTCTCTACAACTACCTGCAAGGACGTTATATGTAGTGAGGTGGAGGTCAGTCTCCTCTCCCAAGTAAACAGCAATGGCATGAGAGGAAATGATCTCAAATTGTGCCAGGGGAGGTTTAGGTTGGATTTTAGGAAATATTTCTTCACTGAAAGAGTTGTCAGGTATTGGAACAGGCTGCCCAGGGAAGTGATGGAACCACCGTCCCTAAAGTTTTCAAAAACCATGTAGATGAGGCCCTCAGTGGTAAGGTTTAGTGGTGGTCTTGGCAGTTCTGGGGTAATTGCTGGACTTTAAGATCTTAAAGGTCTTTTCCAACCTAGTTGATTCTGTGATTAATTCTCTTTCCTGTTTCTCCAGTTTTAAGATACTGTACACCTATAGCTGAAAGAATACTTTTTGGAAGAGAAAGCTACTCCACCACCTTCCTCTTTCGGTAGATCTTGATGCATTTGCGCATCAAGATTTTGCTTTCATTTTTCCTTCTACTTGGAGTTCTCCCATCACCGTGTTCTGAAGAAGGGAGCCTATTTTTCATCTCAGTATCCACAAGAAAATTTCAGTGATACTGAAATTCGCTTGCTATCTTACATTATTTTACACCTGGATCAAGAGCTGTCAGAGAAAAAGCTTCTTGCTTTAAAATAAACTAGTATACTGATTGAACATAATGACTGAAATTCAACGGGAATAACGGGTATGGCAATAGCTACAATTCCCTTTGTGTACTGATATACTTTCTAGCACATATGTTAAAAAGCCACTAAAACGCAGCTGTATGTAATGACAGGTTGAACCATCTGGTACTGTCGAACATTTCTGATTAAAAAGTTTTTAGCAGCTTTCAGATTTGTGCTAGAAATCAGTCATAAGAAGTCACATTACTCAAGTTAAAATGCATGGAAGACCACATTAGCATATTTCTTACACTTGCATAACATCTTTTAAAAAAAGTTATCCATCTCACTAATCACATTAACTTTTAAATCTAGATCATTATTATTTTATAATCTTTATAATCTTGACATAATTTTCACGTAACACGTATGGAAATAACAGTATTTTTAAAATATATGTGTTCTACAATTGCTTCCAGAGGAGACCTAAATAAAGGCTTAAGGCCAGACCTCATTCTGCAGTAAATATCTTACAGATTTTATTACATGTAGGAAATGCACTGCCTGTACCTTCTTCAAAAGTAACTCCTAAAAAGTTAAAACATCTAGCCCTGAAAAAAATTTTGCTCTATTTTCTGTGGAAATTATTCTGTAATTATATTACGGTGCAAAGTTACTGAAGAGCTCATTAAAAGGGAGACATACTGTGCCTTAAACCTTATATTGATCACTTGCCAGCAGTTTCTGTGTTCCAAAAGGCCAAGTTTTAAAACATCAAATACTTACAAAGGCTTTGAGCAAGAGTCAGCACCAAAATATATTGCTGTTAAAAATACCTGAGTATGAAGACTCAAAAGATATGTTTTTATGATTATAATATTAATGTCTCAAAGCAAAAATCCTCCATGCAAAATTACTGAGCTGCAAAAATAGTATTTTGTATCCACAGCCTAATACTTCAGCTAAGTAGGTGAGAAGTTTGAGGTCAGAGTTCTAATGTGATTCTGATTGTTGGAGCTAAGAACACTATTACACGTAGTTAGTCTACCACAGGCTTTTTCAATTTCTTTTACACTTTACATACAACCCAAATACAGACTTCCTTAATTTCAACATGCTCCACTGTGGGGCAAGGTGGGAGGAGTGGAAGAAAAGGGGAGGTGGGGGTGGGCAGGAAGTTAGTCTTACAGTCAGAGAGTGCAGTTCCCGAGACTCAAGTTAAACAGTGCTGATGAGTTACTTCTACAATATATGTGACAAGAATCAAACTTAGACTGACACTTCAATGCACACAACTACAAGTGCTTTAACTGTATGTACACTACAAAACAAAACCATGTAGACATGTAAAGATGTGTCCATATAAACACAGTGGACACAGATTCACATGGGAGAAGTATGTCATAAAAAAATAGAGATAGTTCCAGTTATAGTATATTACCAAAATCCACGCAACAACATCTTAATGTATGAAGAAGTTATAACTGAGAAATTAATTACTGGATTATTGGGAAAAAACATATCATTTACAGATTAATTTTCCTTTTTGTTCTCACCCCTGTTTTGAGACTTAGCAATCAGGGATGATAAGTATCAGAAAACTGACAGTTTACTTGACTGAAAACTAAGTCTGCTTCATCAGAGTTAAAACTTCATTGCTCTACTCTCATTCCTTTTAACTCTGAGTTTTAAGTTACGATTTGCTCCATGCAAAAATGACTTGTAATTGTGAAATGTTGCCCTGAACTGATGTTAGAGCAAAGCATTAGGATGGCATAAATTAAACAGTCATGATCATAATAAGCAGACTAACAAGCACATTGCTTTGTTTATCTTAATGGAAAGTATTTAACACTATTTTAACTGTATTCCTACGAAAGTATTAAAAAAACCAAAATTAAGTCTTTGACACTGTTCTGCCTTACCTCCCACTCTTTAGCAGCATCTTCAGTAGTAGATTCTTCACTAGTTTCAGGCTCTTCCTTCTTTTTTACCACTATAAATCCAGGTTCCCGAAGAGATTCCCCAGTATCTTCTGCGTATATCTCTGGACTCCACTGGATAAAGAAGACATACAAGTGATCTGTCCTAGAGAAGTCAAGTAATGACACAGAAAAAAATAAGGTAAGTTTGTGATCTTTTGGGTCATGTCTAATAATCATGAAGTATGTAAGGTTAAAACGAATACTTACTATTTCATGTTTTATTAGGTATTAGAGACATATTTAAAAAGTATTTTAAATGCTAGGGTTTTCTTTTGTTTATTTTTTGTTTTGTTTTCTTCTGCCTTTGTTTTTAATTACTTGAAGCTGACACTGGAGGAAAAATAGGAAACAAGTTGGCAGTTGACTAGCTGTGTTTTCATACATCAGCATGGTCCTTCAAGCACTTCTATACTGTTGGGAAACCTCTGCTTACAATTGAAGTAACTTGCAGCATAAAACACTAAGATTTTTAAAGTTTATTTAAAAAGAGCTATGTAAAAACATGAATAAACTGGAATTTAAAGGTGTCTGCATGTTTGTTTTCCCCACCCCTGAAGAAGAGCTGAACACTTCCAAGACATGTAATCAAGATAACACAAACTCAAAATTACTACAGATAAAAGAAATAAGATATATATATAGAGACATATATATAGCTAGATCATAAACTACAGACTATAGTAACTGCAGCAAGTACCAAGATTCAAAGTCACCTCTTTTTAAGTTATCTGCCACAAATGGCATAGTTTTCCAGTTTGGAAGAACAAAATGCCAGAATTCCCAGAAGAAAGTAATTTACAAACCTATTAAATGCCAGTCTATACTGTTTAAGCATTTCCTGTACGTGCACAGATGGAGCATTTAGAAAAAGGACATGCAGTGAATGCACTAATACCTGCTCATCATGGAAAAGACAGCTTCAGAGGCAGAGCTTTATGGCTCTGGTTACCAAGACTTTGAACATTCTTTATGTCTCTCTTCAGAGACATTCACTATAGGGAATCTGCACACTGATCAGCATGAAGAACAATATTGGGACTTTTCCCGCCCCCTCCCCCCCCTCCTTACTAGATCCTTGCAAAACTGAGTACTGGAAGAACAGCAAGATACATCGAGCAGCAAAATCACTCAAAACTGCAGCTATAGTTTTCATGTGCCTCTGTTCAGCACACATGTATGTAATAATAGTCTCTGAACAGGATCAGTTATTCAAAGTCACCTCTGTTAAAATTAAGGTTCCTGGATAACACTGATGAAAGGAAAAAGACAGTAAAAGAATAAAACATTTCAGATGCATAAAGCTAGACAAGTTCTATGACAAAGTCAGAACAGGAAGCTGCAGACTCCTCATGCACTGAACTAGATCAATTTTAAAAAGTCTTACAAGTAGGAAAATTAAAAAAGAAATCCTGATTTTAACTTTCTAAGAGCTTGAAATAGTCTATAATTATATCAGTTTAAGTAAAACTTCATGTTTAAGGAACTCAAAGACACTCCTTCCCAGACTGGCTCATTTGAGATTAAGTACGCTGAAATGATGCAGGTTTGGCAGATACCTACTTTTTTTTTTTCTCTTTCGTACCACTAGGTAACAAATAAATTGGTTTAACACTAAATATTTTGACCAATGAAGAGTAGCACTCAAAGCTAACACTGAATTAAGAAAACAAACACCTCGATACCACCACAGGTGACTTTTTGTATACAAAAACATAGGGCACAGAGTGGACTGATAAAGAACACACTACTAATTCCCTATACAGTTAGAGAGAGACCCTTCACAGGTGGAGCAATTTCCAAGATCAGATGCAGATTGTAAAATAAAGAACTGTTTCTTCTGAGATAGGTGATAAATTCTACTTTATACTGAAAGTAGGTATTTGCTCTGCTACATTAGTAAATGAACCAAAGAGACAGTAACCATTTTAATCAGCTGATCTAAACGTCATTGCCATATAAACATTTATCTGTTTTCAAATCAAATACGATACGAAAAGAACAAGCAATTTCTGAGTTGAGTGTAACCACAAGAGCTCACCTGGTCCAGACAGGATTAACTATACCAGAACGAGTGTGACAGATACCTGTCTCAAGAAACTGCACAATCTCTACCACTTAGGGGTAGTGGTATTTAAAAGCAGGTTAGTGATGCACTAGCACAGACTCACTTGTCCCTGTTGGAAAATTCAAATATTTCGATGTAATTTCAGTCCATTACGCATCTCCATTCACAGTGGATACAGAAAACCCCAGAACCCAAACCTACCATCTTTCTTGTTGCAGCCAACTTTAAAGTATGAAATGCTTTTATGTTTGTAATCAACCTTTGCTCCTTTAGATTAAAGAACCCCACTTACTTCTAATTTTCTTTATATGTTACACTTTCTAGGCATTAATTAGTCTTGCTGCATTCCTCTGGACTCTCCAACTGATCCATATCTGTCCTCAACTGCAGTGCCCCAACTGGACATTCTATGCCATTCAGCTCAAAAGAAAAGATGGAAAAGTGACTTGATCATTGTGTGTAGGTATTTATACAAGATGACAGCTGATAGCTTTGTTGTTTCTTTCTTTCCCCCCGCTTCTGACAAGGATGCAATGATCTCCAACACCCCCAAAAATCACATTCAACTTGAAAATAAGTCACAGTTTCCTAGAAGCAGAGCTTATTTCAGAATTCAAGATTTTACCAGTGAGTGAACACAGACACCTCATGTCTTTGAATCACTGCAACAAGTTTAGACATTTTTCCGATATATGTGTTTAAGTTGCTTCCTGGAAAAGTTTTATGTTCCAAATAAAAAGGTAAGACAAAGGAACCCCAGCTAGCCCTTCTGAACTCAGAGCTTGAAGAAGTAGAGAGAATTTTTAGAAAGTTTCCAAATAATGGGAAGCACAAATAATGACAATGAAAACTTTGTTGCAGAACTCACTTCCTTCATCAGACATCACTTACTTGAATCTTTCTTTCTTTGATTATTTATTTGCTACAAACACAAGTCTAAGTAATACCATGAGAAACTACTGGCTGAACCGACAAATAACTCAAGTAAATCAGTAAAACTTCAGTATTGGAATGAGGCATTCCAGTGTTACGTACAAGCTAATCATCAATATGCTCAGTTGCTGGCCTTTTTTTGTGTTGCTTTATAGACAGAGTCAGTGAAAAATTCTGAACGGTGCAGGGAAGAAAAAAAAAAAAAGCTCAAAGACCTACAGGAAAGTGTTGATTTCTACAGTTTACCTCCTTCTTACCTTTCTTGTGGAACAGCAAACCAGTACTCGTGTTTTTTATCCCTCTGTGCATACTGTTGCATTGATGCACTTGCTTGTGAAACGAATGTTTTCCTCATGGGTTTTCCGACCCTGAGACGCAAAAACTTGTGAGATCGATGTCGCCTTTTTTCTTTTGTATGAGAAGAACCTATTAGTAAAGAAAAAGTAAGCTATCCACAAGGTACAAACCAAAATTATTAGCCTATTTTGTATTAGGCAATACAGGTATAATGGACATCAATAAATTAGTAATAGCAGATGAGGTAACACAGGTAGCAATAACTACCTGTCCTTTTTTTGTTACATAACTTGCATCATCAGGATTAACTTCAGAGTACAAAACATTTGAATAATTCTAACATTCATTTCTGCTTCCAACCCCAGATACAAGTCTTTTATCCAGTGCTTGAAAGTATTTCAGAAGGTATTCTCAATGCATATCCCTCAACACTGACTCATAGAATAGCCTGGGTTGGAAAGGACCTTAAGATGATCTAGTTCCAAGCCCGCTGCCATGAGCAGGGACACCTCACACTGAACTATATCACCCAAGGCTCTGTCCAACCTGGCCTTGAACACTGCCAGGGTTGGAGCATTCACAACTTCCTTGGGCAACTCAATCAGATAACCCAATCAGACAACCCTCCTGCTGTTAAAAAGATATTCCATATATATGGCAAAAGCACTATGTTAAATAAGTACTTAGGCTTGATTCACAAATGTCAAAGCTGTTCATTAGTTACTTTGCACTTAGAAAAAGAAAAGCTCTGGCAGTACTAATAGAGGGTTGAGATGAATTTTAATTTATTAGCTATATCAAACACTTCAAAAGGTATGAACACCACTCTAGGATAAAGTATACTGGATGTTGTGGTATGGGATTTTTCACTCCAGAGTATTTAATTGAACTAATAAAATCATACGATTACCCTCAAGGTCTGCGTTTTCAAGTCAGCACCAGGTAAAGGAAGGAAGCTTCTCAAAATTGTTTCTTTGCTAGATTAATTGCCCAAATCCTAGAACATGAGCTGCAGCCACAAGAGACCTCTTAAAGCAATGAAGGAAAATGTAAACTTATGATCAGCTGTGACAAAGAATTTATGCTACCTCTGGTGTTACATGTACATACAGATATGTTCCAGTTTTCTAGGACACTCATCTTTTCTTTACAGTTGAAGTTCTCCTTCAGTGTCTACACTGCAAACTACAGATACACTAAGAACAGAAAACATCACCTTCTTGATCTAGAAACATCTTTATTGTATGTTTTCTCAACTGGATTTTCATTATAAAGTTTAGACGATAGCACAAAGAAAGGACTTTTTTTTTTTCCCCAGTAAATAAATGTGCAGTTGTACATTTTAGAATGATGCCTGCAGTATACAGGATAGTAAAATCGTCAGAATATGCATGATTTAGAAGTATTTTGTAAGGCTGGAAACTCAACTGTGAATTATCAGACTGAAAACAAACCCCAGAAGAACCCTAGATAAACCAAACCTGGCACATGAACTTTGGGGCAGTGTTAAGAGCATTACTCTGGAACTGATCTGACATTTGGGATTTTGATCCTTCAGATGCAGCAGTTTAGAACTTCTCTGACCTAGAGCTCAGAGAAGCAGGACTTGAACCACACCTTAAAAAAGAAAAATGAGTGAGATGATATTTCCAGCTAGCAGAGAGGATGAAAACAATTTAGCCCTGCCCCAAAATCTCAAAAGGACTATTTGCAATGCTCTTTTTTGATGTGTTATCTAATATATTTTTTTTAAGTTCACACAGAGTATATCATACAAAAGTGTTGTACTAATGGCTATTGTGTTTCTCAAGCCTTTTTTTTTCTGTCTCTGCTGATACCCAGCTAACTAAGCAGCAAACATACATGTTACCTTTAATGAGATTCCAGCTTGTTTATATACACACAAAACTACCATCACAATTTCTCCAAATTATCAACTACATCTAGCTTTTATTTCCGTCCAGTGGTTGACATAAGTGTCTGTAAGAATAGAAGAGAATAAGAGTCCTGGATGATGATTAGGAAAAGAATCCAAGGGAGACCTTTTTAACTAGTCTGCTCTTGTTCTCAATTTGCATTGCATCACCTGTTCAACATTCCAAACAAACAGATCATTAATTCCAAACTCAAATATTTAAGCTCTGCAAAGATCAAGAAATGGTAGTTCCCCAAAACCTAGATGCTTAAAACTCCCACAAAAGCAAAGAAATTCAAAGTCCTTGCTGTATGCAGAAGATAAAACAACTATCTAGGTAACTTAATGACACAAAAGTCATAATATGATTACTTCGCAGTTTTAGTCTAATAGGCAGGGTATTAGACAGGGTTCACAGTGTTTCAATTTTGTAATGACATAGTGTTTTCAGTCACCTACTGTTAGCAGATCTGTCATATTTAGTCTCTGATGACCTTCAAGAGTTAAGCTATTACACTGGCTCTATTTAAACTTGCCTGTAGACAATGGAAGTAAAGTAGAAGCTTCACCAAATCTACCTAGATGCGGAAATAATTCATGATTTTATTTGCATTCCACTAATACAGCATGCAAGAAAACAACAATTCCAGCTGCAGCTGGACTGAAATCATCAGCACAAATCTCCAAAAAGTAACCTATGCCTTTTTTTTTTTTTTAATTTCTATTTTGCACTCCCAACCTTCAGTGAGGGTGTATCAGCATGTGCAGATTTCTGATCAGCACGCCTCTGTCTGACTGTATGCAGATACTCTTCTGATTATACATGTATATACTCTGTGACTGTACAGACCACATGATGCATAAAAACCTGCAGTCACTCGATAGAATCTTTCAGAAACTGACAAAACTAAAGCATCTAATACAACTGAACTATAAATACTATTCAATTGGAAGGAAAGCAGCAATTTTGTCAAAGAACTCTGAAATGCAAGATGAATTTCTGTCAATTGCAGAATATATCTTCCTGTTCAATCCAATCTCAACTTTTAGTTAATATAATGAAATCTACCTTCAAATGTACTTCATACATCTATAATGCCTGTTACAAACAGATTATATGATTTCTTTCTAGCCCCCAAAATAGTGCACAATAAAAAAACAGTTTATCTCCATTAGTAAGATGTTAAGGCACCAAAAAGTGACCTATGAATTTTTCTAAAAAGTAAAATCACATAAATACAGAAACAGCTTTCAGTTACTTAAAGAAAAGATACATTTTTTTTTTTATTAACTGAGTAACTTCAACAGACTTTCAAGATAACTTCCAACTAGAACCTGATTTTTGCAGAGGAGTGCAGGTACTAAAGAAGTAATTCTAGTTGTTCCCCATATTCATAGCATTGGTTTCTTACCATCTAGCTCTTATTTATCCTGAAAAATGTCTTTTTGTATGCTTAACCTTGTTCTAGTCAGCATGAAAGAGTGACGAGACACAAGTGAAAAAGTTCTGAAAGCATCTAACAGTGTTAAGATTCTAGTGTTCGTTGCATAAGCCATAATCACAAGGTCAGTACTCTATAAGTAAGATGAAATTAATTCTCTGAAATTCATTCATACACATGTACACTAGGGTCAAAATTTAAGTGGCAGCCAACCGATTGCTAAAGAACGTTTGTAATTTTGAGCTCTCTCCAGTGACCAATGCATCATGGACCAAATTCACAAGCTCACTTAAATCTCCCCTACAAATATACTATGTTTTAATATGATTGTAAATATAATTTCGGTGACGAAAAATGACAAAGATATCCACATTTTCAGTTTCCTGAGCAGTACTTTTTCCCTCTGATTTATATAAAGTATAACTTAGGCATATCTTCAAACCAATGAGAAATATAAGCAATATGAAGGAAGATGTATTCTACAGAATGAAACCCAACAAAATTCTGATGAGTTAGAGGAACATTGCAAATCTGAAGGTTAAGACTGTATCCATAGATACTGACTCACCTTCCAGTTGCCCATCTCCTGCAGTCACATTTTTCTGACCAGTTTGTTTTTTTGAACCCTGTTGCATGTTCTCTCTTTGTTGTTTTGTCTGTTGCATAGTGTGAGTCTTCCACAATTTGCGGAGTTCCTCAACTTCTGTCTCTGAGTCTTGAGTTCGCTCTCTCACTCCTTTCTCTTTGTTAGTTGTCTCTTTCTTTTGAGAGTCTGTGGTATCTTCACAACGTGGACATTCCTCTCCCATCTTACTCTCTCCTTCTAGTTCTTTTCCTAGTGAGGAATCTTGATTATTGCCCACTTCTGCCTCTTTGTCATGCTCTTCACTACTATGGGATCCTTGTAAAGACTGCTGGAGGACATCTGCAATATTTTCACTAGGTTCTTTTCCCCCCTTTCTAGACATCTCAGCTCCTTCTGAGCCCAAGCTGTGGGTACCAAACTGTTTAACATTTACAACCGTTTCCACACTGGGTTTTAAGTCACTGGCTGCTTCGTTTGAGTCTGAAATGATTGTTAAACATTCAGTGCTTGTCTGGTTTATTGTTTGGACAGATTCTGATGATGCTCCAGAAGACTTGTCTTGTCGAAGCTCATCTGAGGATACAAGTTCCTCACGTATTGGAGAGAGTTCTGATTCTGTGAAGACATCTTCTGAAAGAGACTCCTCTGTGCTCCTTGGGGCAGTACTAGCACTGTCATTGCCTGTATCCTGAATCCTGGAATCTGTTTCATCTGCATTGCTCTTTGCACCCTTCCTGGAATGGCAAAGTTCTCTTACAGACAGCTGTTCTACATCTCTGTTGAGCAAAAAAGAATGTCGTTATAGCAGGTGCCTTCTGTATCAAGCTCTTCTTTACCAAGTTTTGTTTAATGCTAAAAGAAATTAAAAGTGCTCTTAAAAAAACAACCCTTAAGCAACGATAGGCCAGAGCATCAGTAATAAGAAACAAGCATAAAATATGCTCTTGTATGAGTAAACTTAAGGGAGACCTTTTACCAGCATGACATAGATAGGACTTTCCAAATTCATTACATGACTTTCACAGGGCTTCCCAGGAAGCCAACAAGATTGTTTGAGATGCTTAAAGTATAAACACCAAAACAACAGAGGAAAAACCAATAAAACACTACATAAAACCATAACCTGTAAAGGTGAATACCTTCCACAGTCTTGCAAGCTTCGCCTACCAAAAAGCCCGGTACAATTGTATAGGTCTGTCCCACCCTATCATGAAGTTGACGCCCAGCTCACTGGTAAGAAAGGAATAGCAAAACCCATCTGGTCCAACCTTAACTATCTAAGTTAGTCAATGCAGAACAACAGGAACCATTAAGGTAGATCTTACCATTTTGCCCATGAGAAATACCTAAACCAGTGATAAGTGTCTTCTCCAGTCAGGTACCTATCTTTGAGGATACCATTGTTAGGCAAAATAAATCCCAAACTACTTGGTACAACGGAACGATTTAAAAAGCAGATATCAGATGTTGATAAATAGTGTAAAAGCAAGCATAAAATAACTTCTTTTCTTCAACAGAAACAATCTTATTCAAACCTGCCTTTCAAGAAGAAGCTAACCAGAAATTCTGTGAGTTTTAGAAGAGTACTGAGTATCATTATACCTTACTTAAAAAATGCAACTGTTTAAAAATTACACACCAGGCAAACAGCTTTACTCTCTCATACATACAGACAACTCTACCTTGGTTAAAGAAGTCCACTTCCCTGCAGTTAAGATGGTCAAGGTAGTCTGCGAATACCTGTTTTATGAGCTGTGACAGGCAAATGCGGTGGCATAATTTTATCTTTTTTTTAAGTCCTTTTTGGCTTTAATGTTAAGAGTTCATTCTATTTCTGAGGCCAGTACAAGAATTAGGCAACCGACACAATGGAACAAAGATTTTTCATAATGCTGTTTAAAGTCAGTTTTAAATGTCTACCATACTAAACATCAGTAATCCAAACTCAACTCTGTTCACCCCTAACAAGCTACATCCAAAGGCAAACATGCAGTTCCTCCCTCACTCAAAAAGGGAAAAAATATACTCCTAATGCCATAAAAATACACATACATCTTAGAAAATGAGTCTTACAACCATATATCAGAGCAACAGGAGCTTAAGAAGGAAGTGAAAAACTGTAAACAATAAAGAGTTACACGTAAAGCTGCTTAAGTTGGACTTTTCTATTCCATACATCTGTCTTAAATTCCTGAGGGATCAAACACATCTGTTCCTGTGTCCTGGGAAGGGACAGAGGAAGTGGTGTGGTATCTCTTGCTATACAGTACTTCTTAAAAGAGACTACTGGAGGAAATTAGAATCCATGTATATAGAAGAAGATTTATTCTATACAGCATATAGAATGTGAGAACTTAAGGTGAAGCAAGTTTTCTCATGGATCTTTCCAAGCCAATCTTCAATGATGTTCATAGAACAGAAAACAGAAGAAAATGTGGTTTTGCTAGTTTTGCATGGTCAGCAATATGGCTACTGTTCATATTTACTCAGAGCTTTATAAATACTATTCTATCTTACATGCTTAATGAATCCTTAATTTTGCTGTCCACAATTTCCTTATACAGAGCAGCTGACATCACTTCTTCCATTGGACACATGATGCCATACTCTTCACAGCCGTTCTCTTGAACCAGAGGATCCATTTTATGAGGATCAAACATTATATTATTTGGCGTCACTAGCAGCACACCATTGACCGTACCCTAAAATGAGAGGGAAAATACGTGGTAATTTTTCTCCTTTGTATTTCGGCGTAGTCTCCATTTTTTATAGGAAAAACACGTTTGTAAAGCATTTTTGTATTGAAGCAATTTTATACAGTTCCTTGTGTTTTTCAGTCATCTAGAAAAGCATAACCATTTTTCTGGGGAAGCAAATTAATTGCACCTACTTTCCCAAAAGAACAGTTTTGGTCCTCACAGCTACTTAATACCTGGCTTGAGTAAAAAAAAACCCTAAACAACAAAACCTAAACCTCACACACCCAAAAAACCCAAAAAAACCCACAACACACCAAAGAGAAAAAAAACCTTGCACTTTAAAGGATATGCTAGGCAGCTCCTCTGAGGTAAAGACACATCTTTCCCATATAACCACAGTTTTACTTTATTGCTATTTTACAAATAACTTCATAACTTCAAGCATTGTCCAAATCCTGACTTTTCACTCCTCTCACTTGGCTATTATTTAATTAAAGAACAAGAAAAGAATGATCTTCAAAAATTGTTTATCTTTACACAAAAACAACAGCAGTATCCAATACAAGTCACTCTAACTTAATGGACCTGTTGACTGATTGGACAAATATATTTACAGAATAAAACTAGATCAAAAATATTAAAGATTTTTAAAGATGCAGCTGCACCAAGATGCGGCTTTAGATGGCTTTCATCACAGCTGCAGTACATGAATACAAGTAGACTTCGAACTTCTAGTATTAAAACATTTAAAGAAAGTTGATACTCATACCATGAGCTGTAGGTTTTTACACAGGACAGGTACCAAGATAATTTACTATATACTGAACTTCTTTTTCTCCCAATTTTTTAAGCATTAGAAACACATGCAAACATCAACACCAGCTGAGCTGCCTGCTAAAGAATTAATTAGACTGTTAAAGTGGTAGGGTTTGAGCTAAAATTATGAACTGGAGGAAATCTAGCTTTAAGCAGGATGACAGTAATTCTTCAGTCACAGATCTTGACTCTTGAGGACTGTACAAATTTAGAAAGACATTCAAAACTTTTGTGCAACAATCACAAGAGTTGCTTCATGTGAAAAAATGTTCACAGTGATTACAATCACTCTGTATGGGGGGGGTGTGTGTGTGATTGTTTTCAGGTTTGTTTTAAGACAACATATCAGCACAGCATGAAATACAACTACAGTCCTCCCCAATTCCAGAAATTTGTTCCCAGCATTATGATGGTTGCTGACCTTCACAGTAGAAAAACAAAGACGCCATGTAGTGAGCAGGAAATTGCATGTTATAAAAACCAAACCAAAAATAGTATTAAAGTCTACAGCAGTGACCAAAGCTATCACCATTATGGAAAAATGGAAACAGTCTCAAGTACACATTCTTAAGGTGCTTTTAAGCCCTATTAGTTGTTCAGTGCCTTGTCTGGTTTTCTACATTCCTTTTAGAGTAAAAAGCATATGCTTAAAGTCTTCAAAGTCAGCAGAACGTAGTTACAGAATTCCAAGGTGTTTAAGACACTGACACAAAACTGTCACTGGCATTTCTTTCCCAGCACTGTACTGTGGAAACAGACTTTCAATGTGCACAGAAGATTTTCAAGAAGATGACTGTCAGTGGAAGTCTACATTTGGTTATATCCACTGTAGTCTAGAAGATAAATCTAACATGACTTCAGAAGTCAGTAAGTCTACTCAGAAGAACAACTGCTTTTCTTTAAAGACATATTACTTCTGTAAATTCAGTACATAAAAAAAAAAAATAAAGCAGCATCATTTCTAAATCTGAAGTCTTCCATTAATGACTGCACATGTAAACATTTTACCAGTGTTCTCCACATCCATCCCAGAGAAGTCAAGGCCATAGCACTGACGGCAGTTGGACTATATGATCTTTATAGGTCCCTTCCCTACTTTTTCGCTGCCCATGTGCTTCATCAAGAACAGTCAAGATAGAGAAAGAGATGAAAAATAGATAAGGTTATATGACTGCTCTAGCCAAAGGATTTAAGAGTTCAATACCAACTTATAAAATCATGTATTACTCAGCAGAAGCAGTAAGTACTCAAGTTCATTAGAGAACTGAATTTCCAGCCTAAGATTTTGTCTTCACATATTCACTATTTCATGAACCTTCCTTAATAAATTAAGTACACAGGAAGTCCTAAAGCTCCTGAGGCAATAAAAAGAGATGTTGTTTTTCTATCAAGGGGTGAGCTGTCACTACTGATATATCATTCACATCAACAAGGTCCAATGCTTTATCTGAGCTCTCAAAAGCAAGTTAGACTGCTTCAGCTGTTAGTCCAGATCAAATATCAATTAAATAATATTTTATTGCAAAGTATATTAGAAGTTTCCTAAGTCAATTTTACATTGCTTATCTGAACACTAGAGAATCACAACATCAGAATAATATGTATAAAGAACCAGCTGCACATCTTCTCCTCATTTCAGTTATCTTGCTTCAGCCTCAATTTCAGCAGTTCAGAAGACATCAACTTACCCATCCCAAACCTCGCAGGCCAGGCTTATTAATATCTTAAAGAAATGTCATCATATCCAAGACAGTCATCTTTTTCCAGGGCACATCTGAATGTACTTTTATCATAAAGATAATACTTTATTGGGTTCCCCCCTCCCTTGTAGAAATTCTGAACCTTGTCAGCATCCTCCTTTTCACTTCACGAACAACGTGTACTTTTTGTGCCCATGTTTCCAGGTTGGCTTTTTTTTTGTTGTTGTTTCTTAAACCTTAGTATTAGTAATTTTCCTTTACCTACTACTTTTCAAAACAGGGCAAGCAAACTAGCAAAAATAATAATGAACGAAGAATTTAAAAGCTCCTATATTAGCTTCAGTTTCAATCAAGTAGACTGTTTAAGACACCTTTTTCTGTCTCCAAATAACAGTTCAAAGAATTAAAAGCCAAAGCAACACACCTTTCCACAAAAGCGTGGCTGCAAGAAAGGGCATGCCTACATACGCAATAAACGGTGAGTGAAGGTGTGACTCTGCAGCACACTGGTTGCACAGATTTATTCTCCGACCAGGGTGTGGCATATTTACACCACCCTGTTTCTAACAGTGCCCAACACCCCACCTCTAACAGTAGCCATCACCAGGTAACAGAGAGCAAATACTGGAACACAGAAAATGTTCCCAGGTTCCAGCATCTCAGGTTACTGCATCTCAGAGAATTCCTATACGCTTGTCCAGGAATTCACATGAATGACTAAAACCAACTCCAAACACATATGGAATAAGCAGTCTTGAAAAAGTGAGAAGAAATTAGACTGTCTGAACTTAATGCAAGCCCTTTCACATGTGAAATTGATCTATTGAAAACCAGGCTTTCACTAGACTGCAGTTCACAAGCATCAGATGAGTGAGATTTCACATCTGAAACCCTTTAAGACAGTTAACTATGAGCTTCAAAATCACTTCTAGAGTGGGACACAGAGGATGAATCTTTTAAGCTTCCTCCAGAAAACCTTTGAAGTTTTATCATCCTGCATCATGAAGAAACATATCAAGGAGAGGATAAGATGACATGCCAAAGAACATTCCTACCACGTGTGACACAAAGGCTAAATTAAATTCTAAACTTATGAAATCTGGTACTCCAATCTGAGCGTGTTAGCATTCATTCCTCTCCCTACCTTTCTCCCTGAGTATGGGCTGACACTGCAATGGATTATAACTCTTTAAACAGAATTCTCCTTGAAGTTCTGAAAATCAGCTATAAAGATGCAAGTCAGACAGATGCTGTGAACACTTCCCATAATATTCTGATGAGGAACAGTACATAAATAATATACTGTAAATTTTAACCCTAGATTTTTCCACAATTTTCCACTAGCCAATTTCTAACAGAGGCTCACAGTCCTCAACTCCTCTGCATCAGAGCACTTAAACTAGTAAGTAATGACTTGTCTAGGAACAATGTCAAAAAAGTCACCTAAGGACTTTTTGCAAGGAGTGAAGCAAACTAACTTGCAAACTAGAACAAAGCTACAAACAAAGCTTTTCCAGTACTTTTCACCAACTTCTAACACACAGCAAACCTACAGCTGAGCAAGAGTCAGCAGTATTCCTATATACATACCCAAACTTCAGGTGAAGGAGGAAGTACTACAAGTACTTTGAGTTTCTTTGTATTTATTCAGTTTGAGTGAAGGCATGATTTTGCCTGATTAAAGTGCCTAATAGTCATTTTGCTCTGGGGGGAGAGGAATAAATTTTGTTTTTCCTTAAAGCATTCTGAGGTAACATCTTTTGACATTCTCTCTGTCCCTGAAAAATCTGTGCAAGACTTGTGCACCTATGAACTGAAGTTAATTAATTGCCACTAACTTAGAGGCATTTGTGTAATGACACTACTGAGAGACCTGTAACTCCTCCTTCAAAATAAAATCAAGATTTCTACCAGACTACACTGAATACAGAAGTGTTTGTTTACAGAATTAGAAGTCAATTCTGCTCACAGTGTTCTGCTTTAGGAAGATGGAAGTGAAGCTACACAACTACCTATTTCCTTACAGTTTAAAGCATGTTCTTCTCCACTGTAACTAAAGAGAATTATTTATGAGAGAGACTAACCTAAAGAAAAAACAGATCTCATGCCATCATCAAGAAAGAATCACTTAACAAAATGGCTACAGGGAAGTTTGTCACAAGTTAGTCACATATTAACTGTTTGTATCATGTCTAAGAAACAAGTGGTCTGAGAATCCAAAGGAAAAAGTATTTTAAAAAAAGTTTATATAGATGTATGTCTATAGAAAATGATCCATCTACCTATCAGTAACTAAATTTTACTGTGTGTTTATGGTTTAAGTGTACTTTATTTTTACATCCCATACAGTAACAGTAAAGCTTGAAGGTTTAAGTACCTTGCCATTAGTGATGTACTTGCAATTGATTTTTAGAAATTTCTCTGTAAATGCTTCCTCCTCTTCGGAGGTGGACGATACCACTCTTGTAGGGCGAACACACGGGTGTGCTGGTGAAGCAGCTGACTCTTTCCGCTGGACTCCATCTGGATCCTATAAGGGAATATTAAAATTTAAAAAAAAAAAAAAAAAAAAAGCAGGGCAGGAGGAAAAATTAGGAACTTATCAACCAATATTAACTTTAAGAGATTTTGTTGTGTAATTTTACTTATTTTTCTTTGACATAAAGAAAATGTAAAAATAGGGTTCCAAGTCCACTGCAGTTTAAAGGACTGCCTTGATCTGATGGTGTACGCAACTAACAAAGTACAGCTCAACAAGCCCATAAGAAATGCAAGAGAGCAAAGGTATTCAGAATCAACCTGGTAATAAACAGAACAACGATTAGAATTCACGTAAGGAAGCCATACAGTGTCACATGCAAAATTTGAGCAGAAGTTAGCAGAAAGGATTATTTTCTAACTTCAATCGAAGTCCTATTAAGTGTCTTCTGTTTACCTTCCATGATATTACACATGACTTTGTTGCAAAGTCAGCTAGTCCAACCCTGTGTTCAAAGCAGGCCTAAGCTCATATTACATCATGCTGCTCATTGCCTTTCCAGTTGAGTTGCAGTCTTCAAGGCTGGAGATTCCACAGCCTTTCCAAGGAACCTGCTCCAGCGTTGAACCACTCTCACTATGAAAAATTTTTTTCTGTCATTTAACCAGGACCTCTTCTGCAGCAACTTGAAGCTGTTGCTGCTCACTGTTTTATTACAAACCTCTGAAGACCCCAAACTCTTCTTCCCTTCTCTCTGACCTATCAGGTAGGTACAAACATAGAAATGAGGTTGTCCATTAGTATTTTCTTCTCCCGACTAAAAACATCCCAACTCTCAGCCAGTCCTTGTGCCTGATTTTCCATTCCCTGACCATCTTAATGGCCCTCCACTGGACTCTCTCCATCATGCCAATCTTTGCCTTGTACTGGAGGTGCCAGAAGTTGACACAATACTGCAAATGCAGCTTCACGAGCCCCCCAGACAGGGGAATAACCATTTCCTTTAACCTGGTGGCATTCCTCTTTCATTTGCCACCTGGCATATCATTAGCCTTCACCATCACAAGTGAACAAAGTTCAACATCTCCACCAGGACACTACTCCTCATACTCTGCTAGCAAGCCTTACCCTGTGCTACCACATGAGACTCTTTCTGTTCCAGGCAGGTCTTAGCTGTTGTTGAATTTCATGAGGTTTCTGTTACTTCATCTCTCCAGACTCTTGTTCCTCTCATGAGCAGCCTTTGCCCTTCCCTCCAGTGTATTGCCCATTTTCCCTAATTTTTGCTGCCACCCTCCCCACCCTCCAAGCTTGTTGACAGTGCATTCTGTTCTGTATCCCAACATTCAGGTCACTAATGAGCAGGTTATCAACAATATTAGGCCAATAGAGACCCTCAAGGATTTGTAATTGTCCACCATCACAGAAAACAAACAACAAACAACAACCAGCCACACACACAAATACTGAATCACTTTGAGCCCAAAGATCCTGCCAATTTTTCCAGCCCATCTCGTAGTCCATCCAATTCAGTTCACATTTCCCTAGTATGTAATAAGGCTGCTCTGGGACAGTGACCTTCCTGGGCAGATAATAGGAACAGTTACCCACGTTGCTGTCTTAACAGTACATCCAAAGTAGTGAATATGGAACCTTACAAGGGACAAGACAAAGCAGTGAAATAAAAACTACATGTATAGCAGACAGACTACACCAAAGCCTACTTTATAGTCACAGCAACCCTGTCTTAGAGCTTAACCAAGATCTAAAGACTCCCATTTCATACATAATCACTATTTTTAGTTACTAATAAAATATTACTATTTGTTAAAAATGTGAACGACTATGTTCCCTTTTGTTTTCTGCTTTTCTGTTCAGTTCTATTCACTAGTACAGATGGAAGTTAAATACCTTTAACCACATTCACGAACCTTATACACAATTTTTTCAGTCATCTCTGGCAATACTGTAGCCTTTGATTGCATCTGACAATTTTAGTTAGAAAGCACAAAACCCAAAACATCTTAGAGAACACTGAAGTGAATTTTACTGAAAAAGCTAAAACCCAAACTTCCCAGAGATGATTTATCATTCTATATACGCCTCTCTCCTAAAAATTATGTGATCACCTTTGTAACTCGCATAACTTAGCAAATGGCCGCAAGAACCCTCAGCTGATATCCAAGTCCACTGTGAAGAAGCCATCTCTCTCATTTACATTGTCATGCAATATAGAACAGGAATAATACTGGTGGCAGACTTTCAAATTTAATGACGACTCCTTTGTCACTACATATTATTTTGAAGTGCATTTTAAGTTTTATAGGTAGTAGAGACATAAAAAAACCAAACAAACCACAACAAAAAAAACAACAAACAAACCCAAACTTAACATGGCAATGCAGGTCTTACATTAGCCACATGCTGATTTGTATTTAGACACATGGTTGTGTTAAACTAATCCAGTGTGTGATAAAACAGAAACAAAAAAGCATGGAGAATAGAATACTTTCTATTTTATCTCAACAACAGTTCAGTTGTTCATTAGCCATCTTACTCAATTTACAGCAAGAACTCATCAGTTTAAATGACCATAGCGCTGAGAAACCCCTTTATATTAGGCAGGTAGCATAACATATGCTTTACCTTGAAATGGGCTTAAATTTAAACTGTACATCAAGCCAAAATTGAAGGAGAGTGACAGATGACAGATATCAATGCAGAGCGTAACAGAATGTATGCTCTCATTCATAATGACAGCAATCAGCAAAGAGAAACACAGAAAACAGGTGCTATGATTAAGAACAAGACTCTCCAGCCTTAAGTGCTCAAACAGAAGTTGAGTGCCTTTTGTGTTGCTAGACTGCTTGAAAAACAAACCCGAACACACATACAGAGTCCACACCAACAAAGGCAAGTGACTTTCATCCTTTGCTTTCTTTTGACAAACTGTATCTATAAATATCCCTTCCCTCCTTACATGTATTTTGAAAGACCTCAGAAACAGAGACTTCCATAATCACTTTATTACATCTTGTCACATTGCTCATTTGTTTTACCTTCCCTGAAGCATTTAAGAACTGCTTGTAGTAACCCACAACATGTAATGATGTGTGCAAAATTGTTCTCCAACACCACAGTGTCAGGTAAATGACATTTAACACTCAGATTGTTACTAACATTGAACTGCCTACACTAGACAAAACAACCTTTTGCATAGGAAGATGCTAACTTTTAGAAGTTTTTAATCTAGTTGGTTTCTTCTACACTTTCAAGCTTTTATCTATTATAGAATCATAGAATCATAGAATAGTTAGGGTTGGAAAGGACCTTAACATCATCTAGTTCCAACCCCCCTGCCATGGGCAAGGACACCACACACTAAACTAGGTCGCCCAAGGCTCTGTCCAACGTGGCCTTGAACACCTCCAGGGTTGGAGCATTCACAACTTCCTTGGGCAACCTATTCCAGTGCCTCACCACCCTCACTGTGAAGAACTTCTTCCTTAGATCTAACCTAAACTTCCCCTGTTTAAGTTTAAAGCCATTACCCCTTGTCCTACCACTAGAGTCCCTAATGAAGAGTCCCTCCCCAGTATCCTTGTAGGCCCCCTTCAGAAATTGGAAGGCTGCTATGAGGTCTCCACGCAGCCTTACAGTCTAAGTTTCAGATAAATTACAGGTATGGTTACACAACTAAGCCCCCTTATCTACTATATGCAAACAAGCATACACAAAATAATGCACAAGAGCAAGCATAAGGTATTTTTCTGACATAGGATCAGCATTGTAAGAGCAGCCCTGATTTCTAGTAGTGAAACTATTTTCCCTTGAGTAACTTCTCATGACATAAATCTATATGGGTAGATCTATCCTAACATTTACAGTCATTCCAAGACTGATACAGACAAATGTGTTCTTGCAGACTAGTCTGTTTACTGTGCTACATCAAATTCAGTTTGCCATAAAACATAAAAGAAATTATTCAACACAAATGACAGCAGACATATTACATGAACAGAAATATTAGGCCAGAGTAGTCTACCGGAGTAGGCATCTGACAGCTTGACTAAGCACTATGAAGACAGCTTGTTATTTGAGAGAAAAGACAGTATCTAGGAAAAGAATAATAGTAACAGATAAAGAAATATCTGAATAAGGTCATAATCACAGAGAAGCTCAGGCTCCAATGCTGCATTTCCTGCTTGGAGTCCTCCCCATGGAATTCTGTTGACAGGAAGCCAGTGTTCCTGGAAAGACATACTTATACAAAGCTAGCTCCTAGCTAAGAATCTACATTCAAGCTGAAGTACAGAGCAGCTTTGATGGCTAAATAATTTTAGCATTAGAAAAATCTACAAAGGTGGAACTACTGAATAAGCCTTTCATTGAAACTTGCTTCCCCCCATCCCCATTTACTTCATTTTGCTAAAGGAAATCAGAGAACCTCCTCCCACACTGCTAAAGGGAGCAGGGGAGCTCTTTTCTTTTAGCTATTTGAGTATTCTTGCCCATGTATCACTGCTACAAAAACTCAGTAAGATTAGAGACAAATGTTTAACTAGTTCTGAAAAGTAGCAAATACAGAAATGCAACAGGAACTAGTATTTAAGACTTCAGTGTGCAAGGATAGTATTTTGCTACAAACAACTTGCCTTCAAAGCAGTTTTCACATAGAAAACTGTCATTTACAAAGACTAAAAGCTTATATTTAACTTTAAAAAGGTACTATTTTTCTTTTCAACTTGAAATGTTGTTAAGCACTTTCTCAGCAGAACGAAAGGATAGTGTAAGAAGAAAGCATAGCATCTGTAACATTTCTCTTGCAAGGGAAAATTCATTTCAAGGACAACAGGTATACCTACATTTACTGTAGCCTTGTCAAGCTCTGCTTCGGAAGATGTAGGTGATAGGGGACTTATAGGACTTAGAGAGGGGGAGCTGTCCACACTAGAAATGTAGTCTGGGTCAGGAACATACAAAATCTATAAAGAAGATATAATGTAGTTAGAAGTTATGCTTTCAGGTTTACTTCAGACTTTCCAGCAGTTCAGGTGTATTTCCTATGTCTTCTCAAAATAAGCTATACAAAATCATTCA